TGCCTGGGGTTGTTCCTCCCCAGGTGCAGGACCCTGCCCTTGCCCTGGTTGAACTTCATCAGGTTCTTCTCTGCCCAACTCTCCAGCCTGTCCAGGTCTCGCTGAATCACCTTGTGATACGAAGGGGAAAAAAAAATCTGCATTTTAGGAGTTATACCCTGGTTATTCATGGGTGAGCTGAGCTGGAAAGCCCAGGGACCGGTGCCGAAGTGGGAGCAAACCTCTCCACCCCGTTAATCAACCTCTCCATCTCATTAATCAACCTCTCCATCCCATTAATTACTATTCACCCCCACCCCCGTTTCCCCGTCTTGCCTCCAGGTCAGGGCTTTCATTGCTGATTTTTCCAATGTCTTCTCCATCCTCCTCTTCTGCGGCGTGGATGCCTGCTTCGGACTGGACACCCCGAAGCTCCATATCCCCAGCATCATCAAGGTTGGGCCGCGCCGGGGGGGACCCCACGCTTCTCCGCCCGCGCTCTCTTTCCAGCTCCTCGCCCGCTTTCGGGGAAAATCGCGGCTCCTGCGGTGTCCGGGCATCTTCTTAAAAGCCGCTTTGTCTTTTCTGGGGGAATATTCTAATTCTGTGACTTTTTTTTCCTTCCTTTTTTTTTTTTTTGTTGTTGTTTTATTTTTCTCCCCCTTTTCTCTTTCTCTCGCTCTTGGCAGCTGCGTAAACTTATTAGCGATTTCTCTATCTTTATGTCCATACTAATGTTTGTGGGGCTGGATGTGCTTTTCGGACTCAACACCCCAAAGCTCCAAGTGCCTACTGATTTTAAGGTAAATGGGGAGTGCCAGGGAGCGTCTGGGGGGTACTGGGGTTTGGGGCGTGTGGATGCTGGGGGTGGTTTGGGTAGCAGCGCGTGGTGGTGGGATTCAGGGATGGATGTGGGATACGATGATGCTCGGGGTTCAGGGGTGACGTGGGGCATCCCGAAATGTCAGCGCTTGGGTTTTTCCCCCTCTCTGACCGGTGGCTTCTCCCGCAGCCCACCCGCGTGGACCGAGGGTGGTTCGTGTTTCCCTTCGGGAAGAACCCGTGGTGGGTTTACCTGGCGAGCGCCCTGCCCGCCCTCCTCGTCACCATCCTCATCTTCATGGACCAGCAGATCACGGCCGTCATCGTCAACAGGAAGGAGCACAAGCTGCGGGTGAGCCGGGGCTCGTCCCACGCTGGGGGCACAGCATCGCGTCGGGTACCACCTGCGTCCCTGCGAGCACCCGCTTTTGGAGGGCAGACCGGGTGCCGCTGCAAGGCACGGGGGGTTCGCCCCGGCTCGGCACACTGTGCAAGGCAGGGGCTCACCCTTTCCTCTGCAAGCTGTATTTTTGGGGTGACAAAGCCTCCGGGGTGTTAAATCCACCCGATGCTGTAGGTAGCGTGGTGCGGCGGGGTGATGCGGGGTGCATGAGGGTGATGCAGGGTGCTTTGGGGTGATGTGGGGTGCTGCAAGGTGCACCGTGGCAACGTGGGGTGTATCGGGCTGATGCAAGGTGCTCTGCAGCAATACAGGGTGCTTCGGGGTGATGTGGGGTGCTGCAAGGTGCACCGTGGCAACGTGGGGTGTATAGGGCTGAGGCAAGGTGCTCTGCAGCCATACAGGGTGCTTTGGGGGGATGTGGGGTGCACCGTGGTGATGCAGGGTGTACCGGGGCAACGTGGGGTGCATCAGCACGATGTAGGGTGCCCCACAGCAATGATGGGTGATGCAGGGTGCACCAGGGTGATGCAGGGTGTGCCGTGGCAAAGTGGGGTGCATCAGGGTGCTCTGCAGCAATACAGGGTGCTTTGGGGGGATGTGGGGTGCACCGTGGTGATGCAGGGTGTACCGGGGCAACGTGGGGTGCATCAGCACGATGTAGGGTGCCCCACAGCAATGATGGGTGATGCAGGGTGCACCAGGGTGATGCAGGGTGTGCCGTGGCAAAGTGGGGTGCATCAGGGTGCTCTGCAGCAATACAGGGTGCTTTGGGGGGATGTGGGGTGCACCATGCTGATGCAGGGTGTACTGTGGCAATGTGGGGTGCATCAGCACGATGTAGGGTGCCCTGCAGCAATGATGGGTGATGCAGGGAGCACCAGGGTGATGCAGAGCATACGAGAGCAATACAGGGTGCTTCAGGGGGATGTGGGGTGCACTATGGCAATGCGGGGTGCATCAGCACAATCTGGGGTGCCCTGCAGCAATGATGGGTGACACAGGGAGCACCAGGGTGATGCAGGGTGTAGGAGAGCAATACGGGGTGCTTTGGGGATATGTGGGGTGCACTGTGGCAATGAGGGGTGGGAGCAGTGCAATGTGGGGTGCCCTGCAGCAATGGTGGGTGTACCAGGGTGATGCAGGGTGCAGCGTGGTGACGTGGGGTGCATGAGGGTGATGCAGGGTGTGCCGTGGCAGTGTGAGATGCTTCACGGGGTGCATCAGGGGGTGGCAGGGTCCTTCCCAGGGGAACCCCCACCTTGCTGGGCTCTGGGGCGAACAGAGGAACAGCTCCACGCGCTGCGTTGCCCCCCCACCCCCCGACCCTCCTGGGTGCTGTGTTGCAGAAAGCAGCGGGCTACCACCTGGACCTGTTCTGGGTGGGCATCCTGATGGCCGTCTGCTCCTTCATGGGGCTGCCCTGGTACGTGGCGGCCACCGTCATCTCCATCGCCCACATCGACAGCTTGAAGATGGAGACGGAGACCAGCGCCCCGGGGGAGCAGCCCCAGTTCCTGGGCGTCAGGTGAGGAAGGCTCGGCCGCGCTCTTCCTCCGGGTCGAGGGGGATAATCCCGGCGCAGCAGCAGGTCCAGCCAGCACGGCCTCACCCTGCTTCTCTCGCCGTTCCAGGGAGCAGAGAGTGACGGGCATCATCGTCTTTGTGCTGACGGGAATTTCCGTCTTCCTGGCCCCCATCTTGAAGGTAAAACAACCCCGTTCCCCCATCCCCGCTCCCTCCCTGCAGATTTTTGGGGACCTGGAGAGAAAAACCTGGATTTCCAGCCCCGACCATGGCCCCCATCGCTGGTCCCCATCGCTGGGAAGGAGCTGCCGCCTTCCTTGGGGTGAGCGCCGTGTTTTTTCCATGTCCCCAGTACATCCCCATGCCGGTGCTCTACGGCGTCTTTCTGTACATGGGCGTCGCTTCGCTGAACGGCATCCAGGTGAGTGCTCCTCCTCCTCCTCCTCTTCCTCCTTAATGGCCGTGAAAGGGTTCTACGCCGGGGCAAAAAGGGGGATTTTGACCCCCAAATTTGCATGCGTCCAATATTTCCAGCTGCATGGGACAGCAGATATCCAAAACCCTTCGAGAAACATCGAAAAGCCCCCAATTCTCCATTTTGGGGGACTAAAAGAGGGTTTATTTGGGAGCCTGGGGAGTGGGGCCGAGGGCCAACAGCAGCCTTCATCCCCCCGCAGTTTTGGGACCGCTGCAAGCTCTTCCTCATGCCGGCCAAGCACCAACCCGACTACGTCTTCCTCCGGCACGTGCCGTTGCGTCGCATCCACCTCTTCACGCTGGTGCAGATCGTCTGCCTGGCCGTCCTCTGGATCCTCAAATCCACCGTGGCCGCCATCATCTTCCCCGTCATGGTAAGGCCTTCCCCCGGCCTGCGATCGCAGCCTCGTTTAGAAGAGTTTTTCGGGATTTGAGGAAATTTTGGCTTGGTCCCATGGTGGTCCCCAGGTCTTGGGATGAGATGCTCTTGCAGATCGCGCTCTTGCGTCTCCCCCCTCTCAGATTTTAGCCCTGATCCTGGTGAGGCGGCTGCTGGATTTTGTCTTCTCCCAACACGACCTGGCCTGGATTGACAACATCATCCCCGAGAAGGAGAAGAAGAAGGAGGATGACAAGAAGAAGAAGAAAAAAGGCAACAAAGGAGATAGCAGCAGCGACGAGGAGGTGGGTGTGGCATGGGTGGGGGCCTCTGGACTGGCGAGAGCATCCCGGCCCGGCCGGGGACGGGAAGGTCCCAGCGAAACCCCCAGGTCGGTGGGTTTGGGATGAAGATCTTTGATTCACGGAGGTGTTTCACCGCGTACGTAGGACGGGCTGGTTGAGGGGCTGCAAGTGATGCTGAGGGGCTGGCTGGGACTCCAGGAGATGCTCAAAGCGTCCAGAAAGCTGCAGAATTGTGGTAAAAATAAAATCCTAAGGGAACAGAGCCAAAATGCCCTGGCTGAGGGTACGGCACCCACCGCGCAACTCCCTGCTGCAGACACTTCCCCGGGCCGAAAGGCTGAGAAGAGGAAGGCAAAGCCTCCTCCTCCTCCCCCCACACCCACCTCCAGAGGTTTTGGGTCCCTCTGGGTGCTCCGGGCGGTCTCGGAGCCCACCCAGGCGCTGCCTTCACCGAATTTCCCCACTTTCTTCCCCAGTTTCCACCTCCCTCAGTCAT